GCAAATTTCTGATTAAAATGAGACGTCTTCCAGCTCTACACGACCTTTCTTTGCAAAGTTATAGAATTTACAAGAAAAGCCCTAAATTAATTTCTTCTTATTTCTGTAGCTTTGAGCTGACAATAAAAATTTAGGGCTTTTCTAAATTCTATAACTTTGCAAAGAAAGGTCGTGTAGAGCTGAAAGACGTCTCATTTTAATCAAAAATTTGCGGGCTACAATTATATCTCATTAAAAGGGTTTAGTTATCTTTTAGAGTTCTTGAAAAACTGGTTTTCCAGAAAACGGGGTCTTCAAGAGTCATGGGCCCGAACCCTTTTTGGATTTTCGTAGTCTCACTGAGTCCTACTTATAGCCAAAATATGGAGTCAAACGGCGTCCGACAGTTGGATAGGTTCCCTCGTTAGACAACTATGATCAAGCAGGAAGAAAATTCTAAGTTATCCTAAGTGTGATAATATTTGTACTTATATTTAAAAAAGAGCGTAAAACAAGCGATGACTCAAGGGTTTCCAAGATCTTGAAACCATGAAATTACAAGATGTTCAAGATCCTGACTTCTTATATTTTCTTACCAAGATCTTGAATCAAGATCTCACTGAAAAACTCAAGAAGTCAAGGTCTTGGTTACAAGAAGTTTGGTTGTTTCTTCTGAACTGATCCAGATTTTCAGCGATCATTACTGCAGCGCGCACTACGTCTGATGACTGTAGAAATACAGACAATATATCAGCCTCCAAGACTGATCTGCTTTATATTAACCAAATTTTTTTCTACTAATAGACACCGCCATTTCAAAAGAAAACAATTTGTTTGATATTTTATCAATTATTTTGTTCGACTAATCAATTCGTAATATATGACATAAGTCATCTTATCAATCATATTTGATTATTCATTGATTTAAACAACATCTGCTATTTATGTATATACATATATAAACCTAACTTAATTTCTCAGATTAACATAATATTCATCTTTCTATTCGTGAACAAATAATGTTTTCAATTTTGTCTTCGTTGCAATTGACTCTACAAGAGTTTTCGCTCAATATGATCGACTATGTTGAACAAACTTCTACTTCTTCGTCTAAATTCCAGTTATCAAAAAAGGTACGTAAAACATAAGACGAAAGGAGTAGAAAAAGGAATTGATCGTGCAATGGTTCTTTTAGATTCAAGAGGACAATGCTAGTTTTATAAATAATCAAGCTACTGAGACATCAAGGTGTCAATCATCAATAAGAAAGAATGATTATTGGTTGTGTGAAGCAATTTTGAACGAAATGTAAGTCAGCCTCATCATTGCAGATATTTGTTCAGATCAAACTGAATCAACCGAACAGTGTATGAATACCATGGATCAACTAGCACATGAACTCTACTTTACAACTTCGTTTCCATGTCTATCCTACGTCAGACTTTTGCTATTCTGCTTTAGATATGGCGACACATCGAAAGATAATGTTGGTTTCTACAATGAACATTCATCAATAATATTATCAGACGATGAATGGCTTGGAAATAATTTAGTTACATCAGAATTGACAGAAATTATATGTCAAGACAGTTATCATCATGAAATATTAGACCATGTTGTCGATGAATTATTAGCTTACATTGAGGTAAATAGTGACGTTGAAAGCGTTCTAAACGAATTAATTGATACAATAAATGAAAACAGTGAAATTGAACATGTTTTGGAAGAATTATTACTTCAAATTCTTGAAAATGATGATGAACTCGATTGCATTCGTGGAATATTCAACTGTTCTTTGTCATTTGATGCGAATATGACATTTATAGAGGAGGATGTAAAACTGTATCCATTACATAACAGTAGTGGTTTGGAGCATTATAACGAAGATGATGAGAGACGGATGATAGCCGAATTAGATGGACGAATCAAACAATTGGAGTTGGAACTTGAAGAAGAAGAAGAAAAACGGAAAAATGGTAGTTTAATATGTGTAACAGAAGTTTTTCATAACAAAGATGTTTATGTTGTTATTGACATTGCGTAAATCCTTTCTTTGTGCATAATTAACATATTAAAGTACCAAGTTTAGGTTCTTTTATAAAAACGTATAACCTATATTTTATTTCCCTTATACTTTAGTTAAGATGCAACGGTGAGAAAATCATGTCGAAGCTCGGGATGTCATTGTGCTAGTCCTAATTGTGTGAAAACGAGCAGAAGAACGAGGAAAGTACAAGCTCGAACACAGTTTTTCATGTGTTTTGTCAGCCCTAGAATACAGTTGCGCAGAATACCTTTTGTGTTATCTATGGACTCAAGAATAATTCGGAAAGCGGCATTTCCTGTTTACAATAGAAGGATGCATTTCATGTAGTTCATAAACACT